TTACAGGGTAGACTAACACAATGATGATGAACTGTATAAAACACTTAAATAATTTACTTTAATGTAATAAAAGAAGAGAAATCCAGTGAAATAATACCCCCCCAAAAAAAAATAAAAAAAAAATAATGAAAATAATACACAAATAAATAAATATAATATGTATTTTTGTCCATTACAATATATCTGTGTGTGTGTGTGTGTGTGTGTGTGTGTGTGTGTGTGTGTGTGTCTGTGTGTGTTTATATATATTCTGTATAATAAACAACAAACGTTAACAATAGCTCTCTGACTTTTGTTTTTGTTGAACTTTTCACCCACAGACTTTAGTAACTCTGGGTTTCCAAAAAAAAAAAATAAAACGCTACACAAAGGCTCGTTAGAATTTAATGATTTGTTGCTTTTATTTTTACTCGTTATTATATTGTTTTGTTTTATCTTTACCTCCTGTGGTCACCTTGTATCAATGACGACTCTCTCTCTCTCTCTCTCTCTCTCTCTCTCTCTCTCTGGCGCTCAAAAATAAAATAAAATCGAAAATCAGAAGAAAAAATCCAATTCTTTCAGCCTCACCCGAGTTTGGGCTTCTTTATAGCGATTTTTTTACCCATATATTATTGAATATATTTTTCTAATAAGTCGTGCGGCCTATTTAAAGAGATGGTTCGCCCGTGTGTACCGAGTGATTTCATTTCTGAATGATTTGAATTTTTTTAGTTTGTGGTTTTTATTATAGTATTAATTGCTATGTATATGGAGTCTGTATGTGGCAATACTGCCTTGACCGATCACCCTCCCTCTCCCCTATCCTCTACCTACGGACTTTCACCCCCCCCTTCCCCCCTTCCCCTACCCCACTACCTAGGGACCATCACCTCACCTCCCCCCTCTCCCCGACCGATCACCCTCCCTCTCCCCTATCCTCTACCTACGGACTTTCACCCCCCCCCTTCCCTACCCCACTACCTAGGGACCATCACCTCCCCCCTTCCTTCACCAGTCTTCACCCACCACCAGACCAGTAGACACAAGTGCTGTACGAGTATCGAGTGAATGACCCAGTGTTTTAACTGTTAATCATTGTTGACCTGCTATCCCCACTAATCACCATGACTCGTGAACGATTAGAAAGACGTAGAGGAGATAGTGAATGTAATGTAGCCTCAAGACGCGAGAGGACAGTAGAGGAAAGATGAGCTGGTTTACCATTACTCCACCTGTTGGTATTATATCTCAGGTACCTGTCTACTGATGCTGTGAGACGGAAGATAAACTCACAAAAGAATTAGGAAGTTTTGGTTGTGGTGTGGAGTGACTTTCTGTTGTTTTCTATTCCAGTTCGTTTATTTATTACTCCTTTTCTTGTATCTCCATATTTATTTCTCCTTTTCCTTTCTTCCTTCCTTCCTTTTCATTTTCCTACATCGTCTTGTTCTTACCTTCTCCTCTTCCTTCATCGTCTCATCTATCCCTTTGCCTCCTCCTCCTCCTCCTCACTTCCTCTTCTTCCCTATCCTCTTCCCACCCCCCTCACCTCCCTTTCCTCCTACTCTTCCCCCCACATCTCCATCTCCTTTCCCTTTACCCTTTCCTCTTCCTCCCTCCCTCACCTCCTCCGCCAGCCTGTCTCCGGGAGGTGGATGCACAAGACGGTCCATTACCTTCCTCCCGGCGACTGCTGCTGGGCCTCTTCTCTCACCTCCCTCATCCTCCCTCCCTCACCCTCCATCCTTCAACCCTCCTTCCCTCAACCCTCCTTCCCTCCACTATAATGACTGCTGCCTGCCTGCCACCCTCCCTCCCTCCCTCCTTCCCTCTCTCCCCCTCTTGACACCTTCATATTGGCGATTAAAAAGTCAGACGTCTTATTAATAACATGAGTCACCCCTCGTAGACCATAATCAAGGTCAGTAAATAGGTAGCCAAAGTCTTGTCAGATAATATGGCTCAAACTATATATCGATAGCTGAGATTTTGTCCGCGTTTAGAATGGTGGACTGTGGTCGCCAACCCTCAGATATGAAAACGGTAACTCTGATTGATGATGTGTCATAGTGTCAGTAACCCCCACAAACAACGGTGTCAAGTATGGCTGTGTGAGTAACTAGGGTGAAAAATAGCATCTCTTCTGGAGGCAAACAGCCGTAGGAGTAAATAATGTCAGTTCCACGAAGGAATTTCATTAAGGAGAGTTACTTGAGCTCGGGGAAGATTATTATTTAAAAGTCTGTTTGTCATAATGTTTGTATACGTCTGCCTGTTACACTATGTTCTACAGGGTGGCGCAGAAATACCACTAGCTTCTAACAGGGGTAAACATATATAAAGTCAAAATTTCATTATAATAAACAGTATAAATATTTATTGATTGTTCACAGTACAAAACATTGATGTTTTGAAAAATGTTGTTATAACCAAATGGGACTTTTGAGTCACCCTGTTTATTTATCCTACCCACAACTGAGGGGATGGGTATTGTTGTGTGTGTGTGTGTGTGTGTGTG